AAATTTGTATAAAAAAAATAAAAAACAAAAAAAAAAGAAAAAAAAAAAAAATAATTGATTTTATTTATTTATTTAAACAACACCAAAAAAAAAACCAAAAAAAAAAAAAAAAAAAAAAAAAACTAAAAAATCGAGTTATTGCATACACAAAATAACAATTTATAGTTTAGCATTATGAAGTATTAATGAATGGATAGTTAATGTTGGTAGTGGTGATAAAAAAAAAAGTGGCTGACTTGATTATTCCGGACAATAAATGTGTTCGTTCATTATTTATTTTATTTTTAATTTATTATTTTTTATTATTTTTTTTTTTTTATTCCTTAACTTAACTGATTGAAAAAGGCAAGAAGATGTGAGACTACTTTTCCTCTTAGAAGATTGTGATAATGGTAAATCCACGTGTAAATATAACAATAACAACATCAAACACAATTATATAATGATTATAAATAATATAATAATAAATAATAATAAATAATGATATAGTAATAAATAACAAAAACAACTAATAAACAACAACAACAACAACAACAACAACAACAACAAATCATCCAATCAAATAATCATAATAGCCACCATTAAACCATATCCCATAACAATACAATCACTTTACCCAATTTTTATCATGCAAGGATGAAGTACAACGAAGATTTGATGTGTGAAAAGCGTTAATCCACATAATTATTAAACCATCCCGTTAAAGAAGAACAAGAAGAATCTATAGAACAAGGTTGAAAATAGAAAAATTAGAACAAGGTGAAAAAAAAATGTAATTATAAGGCGATGAAAAAAAAAAAATGAAAAGAAAAGAAAAGAAAGAAGAGATTGAAGATTATTCCTAGATAGAAGAGATAGACGACAATGAATTATATAAATATAATGTTATAAACATAATATTATATATTTATATATATATTATATGTATTATTATTATATAATTATTTTATTATTATAACTATATCCAAAATTGGTTATATGATTTTAAATGTGACACTCACGCATTCACGTAGATCAAACTAAAAAAAAAAAAACTTTATATTAATTAATGTTTGAGACGTATAATATATAATGTATGATATTTCTTCCCTTTACACCACATTTCTCATATCACCATATAATGATATATATATAATATCATCTTCGTCTCGTCGTTTGTACACGTTTGTCTTCATCGTCATCGTAGATCTTTGTTATAAGAAAAAAATAAACGAGGGAATGGGAATGAAAGCAATTCAAGAAATGATCAATTGAATTTTTTTTTTTTCTCTTCAATGATATCAACATGTGTATATTTGATATTTATATTACTTAATATCATTTTATGTATTTCATTTATTCATTCATTCATAGAATGTTGTACTGCAATATGTATTTATATATCTAAATAAAAAAAAAAATAAAAATAAAAATAAAAAATAAATTATATTATTTATATAAATATATTTATTTGCATATTTATTTTATTTATTTATTTATTTATTTATTTATCATATCTATTTATTTATTTATTATTATATTTATTATCTATTTACTTTGTACAAGTATTAAAAAGGAGTGAAAAGGAGTGGAAAGGATTAAAAAGGTTAAGGATCATTGTGTTTTATGTTATGATTGTTTGTATCATTTTTTAATTTTTTTAGAATAAGATTATCTTTGCTTCTTTGCTGTTATCCTACACTGATTTTACCCACCTATTACACTTATTATCTATTTTTATTTGATTTGTAAGAAAAATTCAAATTTATACTATTTATACTGTAGATGAATATTTTAATTTATATAAATTAGAGAATATAAATGAACACTTATATTTTATTTATTTTAATTAATTATTTATTTTAATTATTATTTATTTTAATTATTTATTTATTTTTAATTATTTATTTTAAATTATTATTTTATTTTAATTATGATAATAAATCATTAATCATCAATAATTATCACGGGGTTATCATTATTATCATCATCGTTATTATTATTCAAGTTATCATCATTATCAGAAGTCCAAGAATCATAATCTTGACCAAAGTAATCATCAATAGACATGTAAGATACAGTTCGAACATTATTACCAAATTCAACTATTTCACATAAAGGTTCAACTATAACCACCAAACTTTTTCGAAATATTGCGAATCCTTCATATGTAATCTCTAAGATAGGTTTTTCTTCTTCTTCTTCTTCTTTTGTTTTCTTTTCGTCATCATCATCATTAAAAATATATTTTTTATTCTAATAAATGATATATATAAGTGATAAAATAAGTGATAAAATAAGTGATAAAATAAGTGATAAATGAGTAATATATATATGAATATATATGAATATATGATAAATGAATTATGCCTTCCTTACCTTTACCAAGATGGAATGTCTTGTATCAGTGGGTTTAAAATAATAAGCCATTTGAAAATTAGCTGTCTTGAACAAATGAATTAATTATTATTATTATTATTATAATTAATTAATTAATTAATTTAAAAATAATCAATTCATTTAAATTAATTCATTAAACAGCTCATTTAATAATTCATTAATTAAAATAATTCATTAAAGAACTCATTAAAGAACTCATTAAAGAATTCATTAAAGAATTCATTAAAATATCAATTATACTAACTTCCGCGATACACTTCGGAAAATGATTTATCATCCAGCTTTTTTCGTTTATCTTTGGAAAAATGTTTTGGTATTACTTTATGTAAAGCTGCGAGAACTTCCTATATTTTTTATTCATTATTATTTATAATAATTTATTATTATCCATTATTAATTTATTATTATTATTGTTATTATTCTAAATAAATATAATTTTAAATATACTACAATAAATAACAAATAATATAAAAATAATGGATATTAAAAATTTCTTACTTGAAATATAATATCATTAAACCAATTAATATTATCGGGTTTTATATAAAGAATTAAAGGAAGAACTTGTTTAGCGGAAATACGTAAATAATGAATATTGTACGTCGAAAAAATGTTTTAGTGAAGCAGAAGAAGACGACGACATTTTTAAAGATCAAAAAAGCCAGTTATTCCGTAATTCCAGTTAATAATTTCCTATAAATGCCTATAAATAAATAATAATTCTTGTAATTCGAATCTAATACGTCCAGATCTGATACCTATTTTACTATATTTAGATATTAAAATAAACCAATTATTTTTTCAATGGATTCTTCTTCTTCAATTAGAGTAGCAAGTGAAGATAAATATAGTGTAATTCTTCCGACATATAATGGGAGAGGAAATTTACCTATAATTACTTGGCTTTTAGCTAAAACCTTTAAAGAGCAGTAAGCAAATCTTCAAATCTTCAAATCTTCAAATAATAATAATATCATAATAATAATTAATTAAGTAATAATAAAGT